CGCGTGTGTGTGAGTGCTCTCAAATTATCTGCTGTTTCAATTCAAATTTCAATTTCTTTACCTATCAACGAGGCGGTGATCGGTTGGTTAACTTCAAAGCTGACGAAGGTGATTGGTGGAAGTTCCAGGTCCCTGATCCAGACTTGTGTTCTCTTGGAAGACAGTAGCTTGTGCTTTTGGGCTTCTTTGTGGGCTCATTTTTCACTTGAAGTTGACGTTTATTACTACGGACAACACGGCTAATGCGCCTGTAGATTTTCTGTCCACTTAGTTGGCACTAAAACATCTCCATTCATGTGGCCTAAGACCAGACGAAAGGTATGTTGCCTCGAGAATAACAGCCGATGTTTCGTTTAATGTCCACGATGTGACCGGCACGTAGGCTTGCATTGTTGCTCTGTCGCACAGATTAGATGTAGCTATGAACATGGAGGTGGTGTTGTCTGCCGTTGACGCTTCATGATCCTTGAAACTGACGCCTTTACCGACTTGGCCTGTAGTTAATAGGTCTTTCGCGATGTCTTTGACCTACCCACCTCCCTCGGTGCAAGCAAGGTGCTGCTTCGACGTCAGTTGCAACCTGGTTTAAGCAACTGTGGTTCGTCTCACTTGAAAAATGAGCACCTACGCGTAATCAAGGCTACCAATAATGCGTTTCGTTTGTCGACGATGTGAAGTCCAATACCCCTTAATTTATCGAGGGAAGAGTAGTTTGTCGCATGCCTTGACCTTAATCGGTGGCATTAACAGTAAAGATTCTCTTGAACTAAGCTCTAACTACATTACTTCCTTATTATCTTCGATAATCAATAATTAAGGGATACTGCAATAAAAATCTACCGATGCTGCATCCCATTATTTGCAATGTTAATCCTTGCAGCACTTGTAACTTGAGTGCAATTCGTTGAATAAATTTGTATCCTGATGTCGTAAAATCGTCCATTTTAGCGTCACACATCACAGATTTCTCGAGACTCTTAGCCGAAACCGCGAATCGGATACCGCAATCAACAACCCACTCCTCCCCCCTTGTTGCCGTGTTCATTAGGCTGGCGATGGTCTAAGCCCAATTTCGTCACCACTGTCGCTTCAAATCACGCCACACGTCATCACTGGGGAACGAGTCATCATCTATTTGCTAATGTTGGTTCACCACGAGTGCTGAGCTAACGTAGAACCACAGCACTCTTTGTTGATAATTTTCTTGACAATTATTGCATTGCGTTGGTTATAAAAAAAGGACCAAGTAGGAGCTGTTAGATAGTACTTCAAATAAAGGGAAAATTTGACGTTAAAAATCTTGTCTTATACACTGTATTATCATCGTCGACACTCACTCAACAAGCCTGCTACCTTGTTGATCTGGTTCACCTCAAATTAATGCCGTTTCCGCATCTCAGAATCGTCTCTACTAGTCCTGCATTTTACTAGTGACTTTGGAATTGTGTATTCGTTGAAAACTGGCATCGTTTATTTGCCTTTGTTTGGGCAAGCTGAATAATCAGTGAGGACATGTGGAATTTCGCGGATAAGCGTCATTCTCCGCGTTAATCATGACCTCTAAATCAGGATAAGACCCAGGCGTCCGTGCTTGCCTGTTTTTCCTTTAGCCGAGTTAATCGAGTTGCGTGAGAAAGCCGCCAGTCTGGCCGAACAAAATGCCCGTGGCGCCAAAGCCAGTACTACGAGGGCTCTGGCGTCGTGTCCACTGCCGGCGCGGAGGCTCAGTCGCCTTCATCTCTGGTCAACCTTCTCTCCACCGACCAAAAAATCCACCAGCCGAGGGACTCCTCCATCCTCTCCATTGTGCAAGGCCAACGCGACAGACTGCGGGAAAGGAACCGTCAACTGGAAGAGGTACACTTTGGTTCCATTTATGTTCCAAGTTGAGATTCTTCGGTGTGTTGCTTGAGTCATTCGTTGTCTACTCGACAAACGGGCAGCATTGGGTGCTTAGTTTGTCCAGTTTGACCGAAATCTCGACTTCTTTAACCTTTCTCCATCAGGTTCCAACAGTTGTCTTGGTGCTTCACGCTCCTTGCTCAAAAAAAATACAAATTTATGTGTTTCATAAGATGATGCATGTGCTTAATTTGTTTAATGGCACACAGGGACACACGTATCTCAGACGTTTGCGCGTAATTTTCCAATGTCTACGACACATAAAACCGGTGTAGCAGTACGAACAGCATGCTTTTGTATTGCTTTCACTAAACTGACATGCCCTGTGGATTTGATGATGAAGGAAGAGTGTTCGTCCGACTTTTCTCCCGATTTCTCAATTTTGGGCTAAATGACTACGTTCAGTTGAACGCAAATTTTGGAACCCACGCACGGATGTGAGCCTCTTTGCGTTTTATGGAAATGTTCCGTCTGCTGGTGCAACAGCCAGTCGTATTTCATTGTAGGCCTTGCAAAAACATTCATCCAGGCCTGGTTGATTATTGTAGCACGAAATATCTGTTACTTTCCATCTCAAACCATGATGTCTTTTGCTTATCTTCGAATTTATAGGTATTGCCCTTCTTTGAAGGAGTCCTCTAAAGTTCTCGGCCGTTTTAAAACACCGTGGTAGTTCATTTGAATTCACAATCGTCAGTTTTGCAAAACCAGGAAAGAAGGAATTCCTACGGCACAGCAAGTAGTGTCTAGTGGGTTCTTGTTCAAAGTGCATAAACCATCATCCACACTGGGCACTCTGAAACAACCATTTCAACCGTGCCCTATCTGTATGGGTACACGACGAGAATGCCCAATCGATTCTTTTCCTACGAACTGCAGAAGTTGCTGTTGGGAGGGAAGTCTACACATGCTCGTGGACAACTTGCTTAACTCGGATAGTTACAATGAATTTTTCTTTCTAGCAAACAAAACTAACGATCCCAAATTGAATTCGGTTGATTAAGAACTCTGCCCCAGTGCCTCCTCGTTCCCGACTTGGTCACTGGGATTTTCGTTAATTTGCTCTGTCGATCGATAAAAATTGTCATGCTCAATGGGAACAGTCTCAATGACGGTATTTCCCAGTTTTTATTTTTTGAAAAGCCTAATCATAGCATTGGTTAAGCACCACCAGTTGGTGGTACGCCACCGTCACACGTGCTTTACCGTAAATCGGTAAGCTTGCCATGGCGAAATTTTATGTGTTATTGACATATGCCTGTCAGCCTGTGAACGAGTTTAGTCGTTTTACCACGATCAGAGCGATATCTAACCCAAATTTGTTCGGTTCGATCATCATTAAGGCATACAAATGGTGATAGA